TCTGAACACTTGTTGACTCTAGCTAGGATTCGAACACCTCACGACGGCGCAGCAGCCAGGTATTCTAATTACTCGGCCGCAGTAGCTCAAAGGTACGCGAACAGTAAGTGTTCTTTCCCTTCTACACTACATAAATTAGAGGAGGCACGTGTCCAACAGTGGGATGTAAACTGATTTAAGCTTTTCTTTTTATTACTCTTGCAAAATTATTGGTTCCGGCTACCGGCCGAGTTTGAACTCGTTAACCGGGCACCCACGTACTCGCCGCGTGAGTGTCATCAGTCATCATCACACTATAATATTTTTATATTGATGACCACGTGGCTTAGCGACCAGCACAACTATCTAACCAAATCACGGATGATACTGTCACATTCGGCCTTAACCATTGCTGCAAAAAATATGTGTGCAGTTCACACGCGCTAAAAGTGAAACCTTCAGAAAACTAAAATTCGAGCGAATGAGACGGAATTCAGAGTACAGGCTAAATCTAATAGATGTATATGTTTCCCTCTTTTACAGTCGATGTTCATTTTATCGAGGTTCAAATCACACACATGGAAAAAAACTCGTAGACATGTAAAGTTCGCCAACACGGGAAACGTATATAGGCTATAACATAAAATGTTTTACTTAGTTCAGACTTTTGACAAACTTCCGATGTGTAATCGGACACCTGTGCCAGTAGATATTTGAAAAGTAACTAACAGTATTTTATCACAATTTATAATAATAAACAACAAATGCATCCAATGACGCTTAATGGACACGTTTCGCAACATCTAGCTAATTTATGGAATGCATTATGAGTTACGAGCATTACGGATAAATCGCAATAACAATGTAAACGCATCTCTGATATGGGAACTGCCAAAACATGTGCAGCGGAGTAATTGCACTGTAACAATTATTCTCCGCGAAGAAGGAGATAGTTCATATAAGAGTATATGACGCACGACGCACGGGACAGTGGAATGGTTCATATATGATGGGCAACGGTTCATTTGTATCAAAAAAATAATTGTTTAGAAGGTACTTGTTGGACCTAGATCTTGGGGTCAGGTGAGACCTTCGTTAGAGGTTTGACAAACGACAAGGATTGTGGTTATAAAAGTTATTTGGTTGGAGCATGAATGGGTCGGCTCGAAGAAGGACCACACTCTCACATGATACCAGCGTAAAATAGCAGCTTAATGCTACTGTTTCGTATGGTAAATGCAGCGAACCAGAGATCCTCTTAACTGGCACCGAGGTATTCCAACTCAGTATTCAGGGGTGCCATCGCATTCGCATTTTAATTTATAATCGACGATAAATGTAGATGTCTATGGGCTACAGCATCCACTTACCGTCAGGTGGACTGTGTGCTCGTTTGTCATACTTATTCCATAAGTAAAAGTTGCAACGAATGGCGGCAGATCGTGAGTGGCGCGGTGCGGGAGGGGAGAGGGGGGGGGGGTTCGTTGCGCTGTTATGCAAAAGTGCGCCGAAAATACTGAGCAGCATAAAAACAAGCGCGCGTCGGCGGCGGAGCGCCAGTGACCGCGCGGGGTGGATAAACTTTCAAGGATGCGCGCCGACCCCGACTGCGGCCCAGCAACTCGCTGCCGACTGCCAGTTCCGCCAGTTTTTTTTATAGCATAATGGTGGGCCCATAGACACCTAAATCTATATTTAATTAAGAATCGAAATACAAATGCGGTGTCACCATTAAAGACTAAGATGAAATGCCTCATTTCCCCCAGTAATTAGGGTCTGCGGTACTCTACAATCGCCATACGAAACGCAGCAGCATTAACAGATTTACGTTGATATTCTCATATCTACTTATTCTGAAAATAGAAGAAAGTCGGTAATGTTTAATAATACGAAATTTTTTAAGGATTTGGTTTGCTTAGATTAAAAGATAACATTGATTCACATGTAAGCGAAATACCACTGACTCACTCACTCACTCATCACAAGATCTTCAAAACTACATGCCCAGTTTACTTGAAATTTGGCATTTGCCTCGAGGCAGGAACCCAATGACAAACTAACTATGATAATACGTACTGTGCTATTGGTTAAACTGTACGATACTCTAAAACGAGTATATCCTAAGATGAAGCAGAAGTAGAACCAAAGTAGATATTTTATCTGTTATCTCAAATATAATAAATATCTCGTCTTTCGCGCACTTATTGTTCGTGCAAATTTCGAATCAGCGTCTCATGTCATAGATATCTATCTTACGTTGTTATTTTTCGAGTAGGATGCCTTTTTTTAAGGATAGGGTAACAAACGAGCACACAGTCCACCTGATGGTAAGTGGTTGCTGCGGTTCATAGACATCTACATCTGTCCTTGATTACTAATCAAATTGCAGATGCATTGTCACCCGTGAGGACTAAGATGGAATGCCTCATTTCCAGTAAAAAGGGTTTGAAGTTTAGTAGTAACGCAGTACTGCAGTGGTATCTAATACGTAGTTAGTTTGCTGCCTGATATTGGATATTGTACAGATATATGGATATTGTAGTACAGATATATGGATATTGTATGTATACAAACACTCAGAACTAAGAGGCCTGTGCCAGCAGTGGGATGTATGTAGGCTGTAACTTTAACTATGGCTGTCAAACAGCACACAGTCCACCTGATGGTAAGTGGGTGCAAAAGTCCATAGTCATCTAGGTACATTTATCCTCAATTAAGATTCAAAATGCAGATGATTTGTCACCCCTGAGGACTAAGATGGGATGCCACCTCATTCCAGTAAATAGGGTATCTGGTTCTCTACACTCACCATTAAACTGCTTTTTTACGCTGGTATTCCATAAGAGGGCGGTCAGGTCCTACCCCAGTGGAGACAATGCATTCGTGTTATAACCATAATGTAAGTGCAGTGCAGCTCTACCACCTGAAGAAACTACCGCACTGTTACTCTGGCTAGGCATCAACACACACACACATACCACCAACCACTGCAGCTACTGCACATGACACCATCTTGCCCAAATGATTTTCGAAAGGAACACAGAACTTTATTCTTATTTAAAATACTTATATATCACTTTTTTTTAAATTGCCAATGGTTTAGAAAAGAACTTCTGTCCTGGAAAGGACCAGCAAGAAACCCAGCGGAACTTTAAAAAAAATAACAGCTTATTATCATGTATGTTACAATAAACAACACAAAACCAATTAGAAATATCTTGGTAGCGATCACCTTTCCCATAGGTTATTATCATCCAAAAATTTCTTAATATAAGTCTTTAAACTTTGAGCAGGTCAAATTTTGTAGGTTTAGCCTAAACAAATCATTATATATGAATATGTATTGTAATGATATATCAGTAGCATTTAATGCAAAATAAAATCTTTATATACAAAAATTGCAAATCACGTTGTTTGTCGCAATAAACTATTGAACTGATTTAAATATATTGCATTGCATATTGCACACTGTGTGCAGTTTGGTCAACCTTGAGAGATAGGATAGTTTTATCCCTAGAAGGGACCCTCTATGTATATTATTATAATTTTTTATATGACAAAGGGTCGTCGGATAGGGCAGCACAACCTCTGCCTGACCAGCTAGTTTAATGTAAATTTTTCTAATGATATTCTTGAAAATCATTATTGTTTATTGTTAATTTTGTTGCTAAGATTTTTTTGATCCTTTTGTGCCTATTGTTATATTTCACTACACCCAGGCCTAACGACTGGGAGAGAATACCAAAAGATATGTCCGCCTTGTAGCCCTTTTCTATAAGATAACAACAATAATACATAAATAAATATATCATATTTTTTTCATACAGTAAACAATATAGATAAGTCACAACATAGTTACCATAATTTTAATAAAATCTTGTCATATATTTAAGATAACTAAAGAAAACTTTTAATAATAAAAAAGTATATGTAACTGTAAATATTAATGACAAGATTATTTAAATTGTATAAATCGTTAAATGATAATTAGTTCTACAACACTAAGAATTTTGATTGCCATAACAGTCACCATCTAAAAAAATGCCATGTATCACCATAGCAAACCATGCTGGTATTTAATGTTACATTAAATCATTTTCATACAATGTTTTATGCAAATAAAATGTTTTAATATTATTATTAATACCTACTATTTTGAAAGTAAATCTATACCAAGAAGAACCTGTAAAACTAACGTCAACTTTTTTGAAAAGTATCATAAACATTATTATTATTATTTATAAATGATAATTTATGTAAGAATTAATGGCTTCAATGCATTAATTCTACGTAAATATTCAAATGTAACATAATTGTTATTGGATCAGTACATTAGGATGGACAGCAAATGGATCATAATTCACTACTGGTTTAAATTGAAATTATATAGTTTTGTCTTCCATTTGAAATGAACAGATTAATTAAAGTTTTTGAAGAATTACTTTAGAGCAAAATAATGTAACAGAGGCACTAACATGGCCTAGTTTTTATATAGCAACCTATCATCAAAATGACATATTATTGTCCAAGAAATGAAGCAAATATTTTGTACAATGGTTGTGATTTATGTCCAGGACTGGACAGTTGCAGGCTGATGAACAAGTGGAAGAGTATCACGTCTGCCGTGGAAGGCAATTATTGCTACTACAGGAGCCTGTTCACCTGAGGGCTGTTTACGAGCTGATAATAAAATATACTTGCAAACCAATAGTATATTAAAATTGTATCTCAACTACTTAAGGAAGACCAGTGCAATGTAATAAACAAATAATCAAAAATGCTGAGATAACACAAACTTTTCATAGTAAATCTTGAGTAGGTGTTTCTTTACAATAAAACATTTACTATTTATTTGTTATATTTATAGCAAATAACTATAATGTAAAATTAATAAATATAAAATGTGATCTCCTACCATAAAATAAGGTTACAGAAACTTGTTGGCTTTATACTTAAATATAAAAATATATATCATGGAAGTTGGACAATATCACTAGGTTAAAAACACAAGTAGCACTTACTCTCCATAAGTCCCTTCGCCTAAAACTTGGGCGACTAGCCATCCTTCGACGAATTCGCCGCCGGCGGCCATGGTGCCCCTGCAATAATTCGCACCGTCAGCTCATCGTGCTACAAGACCACGCCGCCTTCAGCGGCTTTGTTCAGACAATTTTAGGTGATTACTCGGAAATGTTCCACAAAAATCAAGATAATAATGGTGAATCCCCTTTACTCATCACGTTTTTGTTGCTTAACATAGTCAAAATTACGTATATTAGCACTAAAATTATTCTAAATGGCGGAAGGCACGTGGAGTTCGACGAACAAAGCCAATGCCTAACACCACCGTCGCCCTGTAGACTGCCTCGCCCGATAACGGTGATTGCTCATCCGAAAATATAGAATACTCAATACTCATTAAAAGCAGATAATTATAACATTATTTTAAAATAAAAAAGATATACAACTTAGCACTAACCTTTCTAACGACATCTGCTTCATTTAGCCATTTTTCTTTTCCCTTCCTTCCAGCCTTCCACAATTCGTTCACCAATCGGCGACCAACCCGACCGCGCCATCGTTCGAGCTCAATCGGCATTTTTTTTCCGAATAAAAAGATCAATGGCTGCTAACGTTCAGAAACAAAACATTATAATAACCCAATATAATAAGTGACTTTTTAATTTTGTAATTTAAATAAATAAATTATCATTTTATGTTATTTTCATTAACAGTGTAATTTATAAGATAGTTAGCGTTTTTTAAATCATTTAAGATTTCAGGTTTATATTTAATGTTTACGCCAAAGAGTATATAATCACTACATTTCAGGTTACAAATTCAAATTCAAATTCATTTATTTCAGACAACAAAGGTCAATATTACAAGGATTACAAGGGTTAGTATTTAAATTAATGCTTAAAAAACTAAGTGTTAGTATTTTGAAAACAATTAAGTGAAATTATATTATTATATTTAGAATAAATTAAATTCAACTTAATTAAATTAAACCAGATAAACCTAGACTAAACTAAATTCTATTTTGTCATGTACCTAAGAAGCAATCCGTGCGGTTGACACCTAAAAGAATTATTGTTCACTGTATGAGCTATAGTTCGCACGAAATGCCTTACAATAGGCGCATGCGGTTCATCTGCCACCGTTCTCAGTATGCTGTTGTCACTTCTCCGTATCCTACTATCAGCGACGCTACTTTTTTCCGAATTACGGCATGAAAACCGTCAGCTCGAGTCTGTGCAAACATGCCAGAGGCACTACAGAAGCAGGGAAGTGCCGACATCATCCTGAAAACATTATTGATTGAACGAACAAACTAAACACCCTGGATTCGCAGGGTGTTTAGCGATTTTTGGGCATACCCAATCCACAGACCGCCCGTGTACAGACTCTAACAATACGCTTTGAATAAGTTTATTTTAACCTGGTCCGAACAGCGGGCAAATCTGCGGACTAGCATATTGCCACGTATCGCCAAAGTCCTAGGCTGTGTCCCTATATCTAGATCATCTTTAAGGTCATCGTCAAGAATATGCCGTAGGTATTTAAATTGATGAACTCGCTTTAGTTCCGATCCATTTAAGGTAAATCCATTAAGAGATACTTAACTACTACTACTACTAATTACTTGTTATTAACGTGATCCATAATGATCACGTTAATAACAAGATAAGGACAGCATTTTTCAAGCTGAAAACGCTCTACAAAATCAGACCATATCTTAAGGAGGATTTACGGATACTTTTATGTGATACTCTAGTACTATCTCAATTTAATTACTGCAGTTCCACCTTTGGTCCAAGACTAAAGTTTAACACAGAGAGGGCAATACAAAGAGTGCAAAATGCCTGTGTTCGTTTTTGCTTTAATGTGCCCAAAAGAGAATATATTACCCCGTACTTAAATAAAAAGTGCTTACTTAACATGAGTGCTAGAAGGGAGCTTCAGTACGCTTGTACAGTGCATAGGGTAATATGGAACAAAAAGCCTGAGTACCTATTTGAAAAACTCCTATGGATCAAAGACATTTCACATAGAAACCTTCGTACGAACTCGTTAAACATGTTAAGTATGCCGAAACATAAAACAACGCGGTACAGAGGATGTTTCAAATTTGTTGCAGCAAGGATATGGAACGATTTGCCCCCTCCTATGAGAAATAAAATGAGTACGGATAGCTTCAAAGCTAAATATAAATCAGCATTGCTGAAGCGGCAAATTGCTGCAGAAAACTTGAAACATACCTACTGGAAATACATAAATTTAAGAGACTTTTTTTAACATTATGATATAACCCTTATAAAACATCCCCGTGTATTATAAACTGAACAATCATGTTCATACACACACACACACACACACACACACACACACACACCCACGCACCCACGCACGCACGCACGCACGCACGCACGCACTCAAGCACGCACGCACGCACGCACCCACGCACGCACGCACGCACGCACGCACGCACGCACGCACGCACGCACGCACGCACGCACGCACGCACGCACCGCACGCACGCACGCACGCACGCACGCACGCACGCACGCACGCACGCACGCACGCACGCACGCACGCACGCACGCACGCACGCACGCACGCACGCACGCACGCACGCACGCACGCACGCACGCACGCACGCACGCACGCACACGCACGCACGCACGCACGCACGCACGCACGCACGCACGCACGCACGCACGCACGCACGCACGCACGCACGCAGCACGCACCACGCACGCACGCACGCACGCACGCACGCACGCACGCACGCACGCACGCACGCACGCACGCACGCACGCACGCACGCACGCACGCACGCACGCACGCACGCACGCACGCACGCACGCACGCACGCACGCACGCACGCACGCACGCACGCACGCACACACACACACACACACACACACACACACGCACGCACGAATGCAAGAATTATTAATTAATAATTAATAATTATGAAATGTCACAACCAGATAGATGAGTAAATGAAAGAGGTGATTGGGGAACTCAAAATTCTCATAACACCCGTGTAACATCTCAGGAGAAGGAGTGCCTGAAAACCAGCGCTTCATGGGATCTAGTTCCATGTAAGCAAAAGCTGAGTCACCTCCGTTTGCCTAAATTAAATTAAGATTAAATAATTAGTTCATATGTATACATGTTTTTTTAAAAGTGTTTATTTAAGAGATAGATTCGAGACACTTGCCGGCATCCCTAAAGACCATATATTTACTTTTATTAATGTTGTATACAAGACCATGCGAGGCAGCATAAGCCTCGAAGACCTTCAACATGTCACCGATCGCATTCGCAGTGGAACTCAGCAACACCATGTCATCCGCATAGCTGATGCTACTGATACTAATATCACCCACGCGGCATCCAACACGCATGCTACTGAGCTCCACCAAGAGATCGTTAACATACAGGTTGAAGAGTTTCGGAGACGATAACCCTCCCTGCCTCACTCTGCACTCCAACCTGTATGACTCGGAGTGACTGTTTGACCATTTAACATGATTGGCCTGGTTTGCATACCAATACCGAAAGATGCTGATCATCTCTGCTGGAATACCGCTGTCCTCCATCTTCCTCCAAAGCACAAACAGGCGTCGTCTGGTCTGTGTAGTATTGGGCAGTATGCTTTAGGCTCCGAATTGCGCTTTCAGTGGATAGTCCGGGCCGGAACCTGAACTGTACATCATGCAGGTTTAAGTAATTTTATAAGTTAGAGTCAAGCAGACTATCCAATATCTTAGCTACCTTAGTAGCGAGGGAGATTGGAGGATAGTTTCCCTTATTCGAGATATCTTCTGTTCCGTTCTTAAATATGGGCATAACAGTAGTTTTCATTAGATCAGCTGGTAAGTACGACTGGCTGATGCACATATTGAAAAACAGAGACAGGACCCTCGGTAAATGCAACCCCGCATATCTCAGGTGCTCGATACTAAGCCCGTCGTGACCGGGAGACTTTCCTCTGCTCATGCCTTTTATTAGTCTTTACTTGGCTGGTTATAAATGAATGCAATGGCCGTTCCTGCACACACCGGCCCCAGACTCTGGCTTAGTAACAGATGGACACAGTGGTGACCTCACCTCAAAATGTTCCATTTACAAATGTGCGATATCCCCCATGTCATTCATGCCATCAACACTCGCCGGGAGTCCAGGCCTAACATTCAGTTTTCCTGTGGATTTCCGGAACCTACTAAAGTTCTTTTCCGCTCTAAGTTTTGCTATTTGGTCCATTTTTATTTGCTCCTGGTTATTTAAGCACCATTTTTGTCTGTATTTAAAGATTTTACGAGATTCGCACATTTGCTCATATATTAGGCCAGAAGGAGGTCGACCATGCAAAACCCAGTCTTGGAATCGAAGCCTGGCCTCCCGGTGAGCTTCCCTAACATGCTTATTCCACCCACTCAAAACTTTGTTCCTCCGTGGTTTATGCCTAACCTGGGCCTTTGTCTGAACAACTGCGTCCTGTAGAATACCCACAATACGTTAATAAAATTAATAAAGCTGTCTAAAACTAACTTGTGATTTTTCAAGCTGCATGATCCATGGCTGCAGTCCATAAACTCAGGAGGAAGGTCAACATCCCGTAAGCTGTTATTACACAGATTGCGGTATCCATTTATCTGAGATTCATCTCTTTCACCCCAAATCACTGCACTACGCCACATTGTGAATTCACCCAGTACAACAAAATAGGAAATTGCAATGAACGACAATTAGATCTTGTTTTGAGTACGTGTTCAGTGGAAGAAGAGTTGGAGGTGCGCGCGGCTGAGCCAATCGTGCCGCCCGACCCAAATCATCCTCCGCTCGCTACTGTGGTGCCACAGCGGGGGCGAGTGCCGTACGGGCAGCCCGCGCTCGCGCCGCTTCTAGCTGAGTCTGAGGGGAGCACCCAGACGCATACTGGATGGAACTTCTATAAAGCAAACTTTTCGTTAATGTATTCGTTAATAGCGGCCATAGATTGGACGCCAATGTATAGGTTCGATATAAATAATAGTTTAGATTATTATTATGAGGTTTTAAACAAAGTTACGAATGACTGCGTTCCAAGAAAAAATTGAAGACGTGTAAACTCGGAGTACAGTTACCCCGAGTGGTACACGATAGACACTATTCGCAACATACAATTAAAGGCTAGGCTTTATAGGCAGATTAAGGTTAGCAAATCAGGGGCCGATTATGAGGCGTTTGCTAAGTGTAGAACGTATACAAAATATTTAATAAACTCCACGTACAAAACACTTGCCGTGTAGTGGCGGTTAAGAATATCCACTACCCCATATCTTCCCGTGGGTGTCGTAAAAGGCGACAGAGGGAGACAGGCAGGAGATGGGCAGCAGCATCTTCCTGATAACAGCAACTGTACGATAAAAAAAAACTGCGGTTGCCAACCCGCTCGCCAAGCGTGGCAACTATGGCAATATACCCCCCATGAACAATTACACAAATAGACGGCCCCCAGTCCCCGGCGGCTCCGCTATTGCTGGCTACTGTGGCGACCATGGTAACGGCGGGGCAGGGGGTGCTAAGAATCTCCGGTGGAGGTTCGGTTGCCACCTACGACGACTCGACCTGGCAACATTTAACGCACGCACACTGAGGACTGACGAGAAGATCCTGGAGCTGGAAGAAGAGATAGACAAGTTGCGCTGGAGTATTATAGGATTATCCGAGGTCCGAAGAGAGGGGGAGGACACGGTGATTCTCGAATCCGGCAACTTGTTCTATCACCGGGAGGGCGACCATCTGTCCCAAGGAGGTGTCGGATTTATCGTCCACAAGTCTCTCGTCAACAACGTTGTAAAGATTGGGAGTGTGTCGACGAGGGTCGCGTACCTGATACTCAGAATCACCAAACGGTATTCGCTGAAGGTCATACAGGTTTACGCACCAACCTCAGCACATTCCGATGAGGAGGTGGAGGAAATGTATGAGGATATTTCCAAAGCCATGCATTCCTCCAAAACCCACTACACGGTGTTGATGGGAGACTTCAACGCAAAACTAGGCACAAGAGAAAACGGTGAGCTGAAGTTAGGGAAATTTGGAATAGGGCAACGGAACCGAAGGGGCCAGCAGCTGGCCGACTTTATGGAGAAAGAGGGACTCTTTATGATGAACTCTTTCTTCCAGAAGCGGCCCCACAGGAAGTGGACCTGGTCGAGCCCCGACGGTTCGACAAAAAATGAGATTGACTTCATTATGACGACCAGACGCCAACTGTTCAGTGATGTCTCAGTGATCGCAAGGGTGAAAACTGGCAGCGATCACCGAATGGTTAGAGGCACACTGAACCTAAACGTTAAGTTGGAGAGGTCTCGTCTAATGAAGTCAACGCTCCGTCCCCCCTCGTGCTCTAATCCAGAATCCCGAAAACTTTCAGCTCGAGTTACACAACCGCTTTCAGTGCCTACAAGATTGCAATGCAGTGGACGATATGAATGACAAGCTCGTGGAAACTGTCCATGCGGTCGGAGCTAAGTTCTGCAAGACCCGCCGCAGAAGAACACAAAAACTCTCCGATCACACTCTTAATCTCATGGCTGTTAGACGGGAGATGAGGCTGCAATCGTCAACAGATTTGACAGCATACAGGCAACTGAATAGACAGATCTCCAAATGCATGCGGCGAGACTTACGCAACTTTAATACTTCTCGTATTAAAGAAGCGATCGAGCGGAACCAGGGCTCCAAAGTCTTTGCCAGAGATCTGTCTGCCAGAAAGAGCCAACTGTCAAGGCTGAAGACTGAGTGTGGCAACATCGTTTCCGGGACACCTGAGATTCTGAGTGAGATTGAGAGGTTCTATGGGCAGCTGTACACATCATCGTTGGAGCCACACTCAAGTGTGAGTAACGATCCAAGAGCAAGTCTTATCCGACACTATTCCGATGATATCCCGGACGTCAGTCTGAGCGAGATTAGAATGGCTCTCCAACACCTTAAAAACGGCAAGGCCCCGGGCGAGGATGGAATTACAGCGGAGCTTCTGAAAGCGGGTGGAACACCGGTACTTGAAGTCCTTCAGAAGCTCTTCAATTCCGTCCTCCATGGTGGCACTACTCCAGAGGCGTGGAGCAGAAGTGCGGTGGTCTTGTTCTTTAAGAAAGGCGACAACGCTCTCTTGAAGAACTACAGACCGATTTCCCTTCTGAGCCGCGTCTACGTGCTGTTTTCGAGAGTCATTACGAATCGTCTCGCAAGCAGACTCGACGACTTCCAGCCTCCCGAACAAGCCGGTTTCCGAAAAGGCTTCAGTACCATAGACCACATACATACCCTGCGGCAAATTGTACAGAAGACTGACGAGTACAATTTGCCACTTTGCCTGGCGTATGTGGACTATGAGAAAGCCTTTGATTCCGTCGAAATTTGGGCGGTGCTGCAGTCCCTTCAGCGGTGCCAAGTTGACTGTCGGTATATCGAAGTGCTGAAGTGTTTGTACAGTAGGGCTACGATGGCTATCCGAGTACAGAACCAGAGCTCGAAACCTATCCAACTGCAGAGAGGTGTAAGACAGGGTGACGTTATATCCCCGAAACTCTTCACCGCTGCTTTGGAAGACGTTTTCAAGCTACTGGACTGGAAAGGGTACGGTATTAACATCAATGGCGAGTACATCACTCACCTTCGATTTGCCGACGATATAGTCCTTATGGCAGAATCGCTGGAGGACCTTAGCACTATGCTCAATGACCTCAATGGTGTCTCCCAACGGATAGGTCTTAAGATGAACATGGACAAAACAAAGATTATGTTCAATGTCCATGTCACACCTATGCCGGTAGTTGTGGGGAGCACTATGCTCGAAGTTGTTGACGAGTACGTTTACCTGGGACAAATAGTCCGACTAGGTAAGTCCAACTTCGACCGAGAGGTCAATCGACGGATTCAACTCGGCTGGGCAGCGTTCGGGAAATTACGACACATCTTCTCGTCAGGTATACCTCAATCTCTGAAAACTAAAGTGTACAACCAGTGCGTGTTGCCAGTGATGACTTACGGATCAGAGACGTGGTCCTTCACTGCTGGCCGTATGAGGACGCTCAAGGTCGCTCAGCGAGCTATGGAGAGGGCTATGCTCGGAGTTTCTCTGCGTGATAGACTCAGAAATGAGGATATCCGCAGTAGAACCAGAGTGACCGACATAGCCCAACGGATTAGTAAGCTGAAGTGGCAATGGGCCGGCCATATAGCTCGAAGAACCGATAACCGATGGGGAAGAAAGGTTCTCGAGTGGCAGCCTCGTACCGGTAGGCGTAGTGTAGGGCGACCCCCCACTAGATGGAGTGACGACCTGGTAAGATATGCAGGAAGTCGATGGATGCAGGTGGCTCAGGACCGTGCTTTGTGGCATTACTTGGGGGAGGCCTATGTTCAGCAGTGGACTTGTGAAGGGCTGTAATGATGATGATGATGATGACGTACAAAAATTATAAAGACCGGCTGCAAAGTGAGTTTCAGGTAAATCTAAAGGCGTTTTGGGCTTACATTAACTCAAAAAAAGACAGCAGAAGTCCACGCAAGATTTTAAAAGATGATAAGGTACTTACTAGTGAGCAGTGTGCTACTGAGTTTGTTCAGTATTTTTATTCGGTATTTAGCCCTAAGATGTCTAAGCTGGACGTGGAGGCGGCAGTGAAACAGGCTGGTGGTAAGAATGGAGTGGCTAGGATACACTTAGAACAACTAAAGCTTGATGAAGTACTTTACGCTCTACAAAAACTCAAGCCAAAAAAGTCAACGGGACCCGACGGCATACCGCCCTACATTTTCAAAGACTGTAGACTAGTAATTGGTAAGCCACTTCTCTACATCTTTAATCAGTGCCTGGCGGAGGCAGTGTTTCCAGATAGATGGAAAACAACCAAGGTAGTCCCAGTACCAAAAGGAAAGTCAGCATCAAACGTGAACCAATATAGGCCGGTTGCTGTGCTTTCAACACCAGCTAAAGTACTGGAGGCTGCAGTACACAAGAGCATCCTCTCGCAGGTTAATGTACAGCTTTCAGATGAGCAACACGGTTTTAGACTCGACAGGAGCACCACCAGCAACCTAATTAATTATATGAATTATATTGTACCTGAAGTGGATGCTGGGGGACAGGTAGAAGTAGCTTTCGTGGATTACAAAAAAGCTTTCGACCTAGTGGATAATACATACTGCTCACAAAAATGGCAGGTGTAGGATTTACTCCCCATTTACTAACATTTTTTGCTAGTTATATGCGGGACATACAGCAGTATGTAGAATATGCGGGGTGTAGGTCAGAAAACTATTCAACTAGGTCTTGAGTAAGTCAGGGCAGCAAGCTCGGTCCATTGCAATACATATTGATGATAAATCTGCAAAAAGATGCTCATTGCACTCTATTTGCAGATGTTCATCTGATGACTTGAAACTGTATCTTGCTGTTAGGAACAGAGAGGATTGCCAAAAGTTACAGCAAGAAATAGATAGGGTGGTAGCCTGGAGCAAACATAATAACTTACAATTTTTTTTATAGAAGAGGGGGCAAACGAGCATGCGGCTCATCTGATGTTAAGTGACTACCGCCGCCCATGATCAACCGCAACACCAGGGGAATTGCAGGTGCGTTGCCGGCCCTTTAGAAAGGAGTAAGCTCTTTTCTTGAAGGTCCCCAGGTCGTATCGGTCCGGAAAAATCGCCGGTGGTAAACTATTACACAGAGAGGTTGTACGCGAAAGAAAACTCTTTTTGAAACGTACTATGGTGGACCGCCAAGCATCCAGATGGTGTGGATGGTATCGGGACGTTTGCCGCGTAGTGCGTTCACGAAATTTGGTGGCTGGGATTAATCCGAACAATTCCTCAGAGCACTCTCCATGGTATATGCGAAATAAAATGCAAAGAGATGCAACATCTCTTCGCAGTGCCAGTGAATCGAGCTGATCGGAAAGCACTCGGTCGTCGACGATTCGAGCCGCTCTGCGCTGGATGCGGTCAAGTGGAAGGAGCTGGTACTGGGGAGCCCCAGCCCAGAGATGGGAACAGCATTCCATGTGTGGCCGAACCTGCGCCTTGTAAAGTCGCAGGCGGTGTGCCGGCATGAAATACTGTCCCGCTCTGCTGAGCACGCCAAGCTTTTTAGAGGCCAATTTGGCCTTCTCTTCCAAGTGACCACGAAACTGCACGTCACTCGATATGTCAACGCCGGGGATTCCGATACTGGCTGAGGCAACAAGGGGAGTGCCTTGAAACTGAGGAGATACGACAAAGGGCTTCTTTTTAGCGGTTAACGCGCAAACTTGTGTCTTCTGAGGGTTAAATTGGACTAGATTTAGTCGCCCCCAATCCGAGACTCTGTTCAGCAAAGACTCGACTTCAGACACAAGTTTGTCCCGGCACTCGGAGACGTTTTCCCGGGAAATATTGGCTCGGCCGGTGTAAAGAGCATCACCAGTGCTGTCATCTGCATAGCAATGAATGTTACGGGTTTGCAACATATCATTGATATGCAGAAGAAACAGCGTTGGCGATGGCACGCAGCATTGTTGAACACCAGCATTAACAGGCTTGCAATCGGAGCTTGCACCGTCTACAACGACCCTGATGCTCCGATCTGCAAGAAAGCTGGTGATCCAATCGCACAATTTCTCGGGAAGCCCATAGGAAGGGAGCTTCGAAAGAAGCGCTTTGTGCCAAACCCGATCGAAGGCCTTCGCAATGTCCAAACTAACGGCCAATGCCTCCCCCTTGGACTCTACTGCCTCCGCCTATTTATGAGTAAGGTAGACCAGAAGATCACCAGCTGATCGACCACGACGGAAACCGTATTGGCAGTCACTTATCAGCTGGCGATTCTCAATTCTTGTTTTGGAAAACGGCTATTCCTAAAAAATTTTGAGAAACTTATTCACGATCATATATATTCAATTTTGAAAAATACATTATTAGAGGAACAACACGGCTTTGTTAATGGCAGGTCTACACTGACAAATCTTCTTGTTTTTACTAACTTTATTTTTAATAGTTTAGACTATAAATCTCAGATTGAAACTGTATACACCGATTTCGAAAAAGCATTCGACAAAGTTGATCACTTGCTACTTTTAAAAAAAATCTCCTACAATGGTATCAAAGGTAATCTTCTACGATGGTTTGCTTCTTATTTACAAAACCGCATACAGTCGGTAGTGCTTAATGGCTACATTTCCTTACCCGTTGTAGTAACATCTGGCGTACCACAGGGATCAATACTGGGGCCACTCCTCTTTATCCTATTTATTAAAGACATTTCAACTTGCTTTGACCACTGTAAATTCTTATTATACGCTGATGACTTAAAATTATACTCTGCCGTTACTAAACCTGACGACATAAAATTAATACAAAACGATTTGGATAGACTTGAAAACTATTGTAAAATTAATAAATTATTCTTGGCTTATAATAAATGCAAACACATAACATATACTAGGAACAAAAATGTAGTACACGCGGACTTTTACTTAGGTGGTCACAAAATTGTATCAGAATTTAGTATACGTGATCTTGGAGTATATTTAGATACCAAACCACACTGAACACATCGAGGAAATATTGAATAAATCTTACCGAATGCTAGGCTTCGTTACACGTATAACAAAATCATTTAAACACAAAGATACTCTTACCTGCCTTTATCAGTCATTAGTTAGATCTCATCTAGAATATGTGTCCCCCGTTTGGAATCCATTCTACTCAGTTTATGAAGATAAGATAGAAAAGGTCCAAAAGAAATTCTTACGTATTGTTAACTATCGAATGCATTCACCTCGCGTTTCCTATGAAAATCTCTTAACAAAATATCAAATGCTGTCATTAAAAGACCGACGCACTTTAATCGACGCCACTACTTTTAGGAATATCTGTGTTGGTGAGATTAAGTGTTCACAGTTATTATCCGAGGTAAGGTTTCGAATACCACCCAAAAACACACGATCAAAAAATTTATTTCATATACCAAAAACCAGGACCAACATTGGTAAAAGAGCACCAGTACACAGAATGTGTGTCCTCCACAATAAAATGCTTAACGACATCGATATGTTCTCTATCTCCCGTTCAGCTTTTAAAACTAAATTAAAAAGTACTTTAGTAGCAATTATGAATTAGATATATAAGGATATTTAGTATTATTGTACATGTTAGATGATTGTTTTCAGATGATTGTCTTCTTTTTATTTAAGTACAGACTTGTTACCCTGCTTGTTGTGCAGACGATACCAATTACGACCTGCTTCATAATATAAATATTATGTATGTTCTTAGTGAGACAGCTTATAGGAAACAATTGTAATTACCATTGTCTTATTTTACTTGTATATTTTTCTTTCATATCTTTTGTTTCTGTTTTGTCTCCAATAAAGTAATTAAATAAATAAATAAATAAAACAAGGAGGTGATGGCGATAGGCCGGTAGTTGAACGGGTCTGAGCGGTCGCCTTTCGCCTTTTAGGGATCGGGTGGACGAAAGCCGTCTTCCATGATTTTGGGACTACGCCTAGGGAGTAGGAGTACCGGAAAAGACGCGTTAAAACCGGTGCCAACTCTGGAGCACACGTCCTCAGCATAATTGGGGGGATTCCGTCAGGCCCACTCGACTTGTGGATGTCCAGGGAGAGGAGTGCTTTGCGAACCGAGCGCTGTGTGAACTGCACTTCCGGCATGGAGCAGTCACACCGCGGGATGGTCGGCGGCGAACTCTCCCCGTCATCGAGAGTCGAGTTGGACGCAAAGAAAGAGCCTAGAAGATCGGCTTTCTCCTTTGCGGTATGGGCCAGTGAGTCGTCCTCCCTATGCAGAGATGAAGAGATGGCTGACAGAAATTCCCCTGGACAGCTTTGGCAAGAGACCAGAATGCACCGATTCCAGAAGGAAGGCGAACTAGTTTCTCGCCAATTCTGCCTATGTGCTCTGACTTTGCCTTGGCAATGACTCTTTTGAAGGACCTAGAGGCGGAATTATACTTCTTTTTTATAGCGCTGGTGCTTACATCCCGGGACGCTGATGCGTCAGCCCAGGCTCGGTAGCACTCCTACCACATCAGTGACAGAATCCGCAACAACGTTGGGATCGTCCGGCGAGACGTAAACCCGCCCCCAAGGGTAGGATGCAAAGAAAGACCGCATCCCATCCCAATCGGCTGACCTATAGTGCCAAACACGGCGGCAGCCTGCAGAATGCAACTGCGATTGCAGCGTGAGTGGCACCACACTCCGGACAAAACAATGGTCCGAGGAGCCTAAAGGGGCTTCGACGGAAATCTGATATCCGTCCGGGTGAGAGGTCAGCAGAAGGTCCAACAGGGAAGGTGCATGATCCTCCACATCTGGAATCCGCGTAGGCGAAGTAACCAGTTGTGTCAGACCATATGCCAAGGCAAAATCATGAACAGATCTCCCCGCATGATCGGTTAAACGTGAACCAAGCCATTCGGCGTGATGGGCGTTAAAGTCGCCGAGGATCACGATCTCTATGGAGGGGATCTGCTGTAGCAACGAATCTGTAGCCATTTGGACGTGGTCGAAGAGTCGGTCTGTTTCGGCATTACCGCTATGGGACCTATAGAGGCACCCGTAGACGCGCGGATTGTCGTCGCTGTCTACGCGTAGCCAAAGGATGGACAGGTCCAAACCTTCAAGTCTGCCGAGGCGTCGAGAACAGATGTTCTCTCTGACGTAAACGCAAACTCCAGCCCGAGGCACAAAGGAGTGTTCCAGTTTGTACCCCGGTCAGGAGAGATACGAGACATCAGCCGGAGAGGACACCTGCGTCTCGGTCAGGAAGAGCAGAGCCGGCCTCGCCATCTCGAGATGGTAGTGGACGGCGTTTAGGTTAGAGTGAAGTCCCCTGATATTGCAGAAATTCACGGACAGCGTGGCAGGGGTCACCTTGGTCTTGTTGCTCCGTTTGCCCCGAGCAGTTGTAGTCTTGAGCGGAATTCCCCCCCCCCCCCCAGAATACGCGGGGCAGCCTGAGCACCCACGCTCAGAAGTGGAGAAACATGGTCGTGGATGCTCAGCGAGGGATTCTCCAGGGGTGCTGTACCCTCCTGTGTCTTCATTATTTAATTCCGCTACCATGTTGATGGGGGGGGGGATTTGGGCCTCCGGCCACCTGCACTCACCAGACGAAACGCGGAAACAGAGCTTCCACTTCACGCCGGTATTCTGTGAGGTCGT